AGAGAGAGAGAGAGAGAGAGAGAGAGAGAGAGAGAGAGAGAGAGAGAGAGAGAGACTCTAGTTGAACAGCGAGTCAGTTCGCAGTTATCGAGGTTGATGTCAGGTCGTGATCTGTTTGGTGACTGACCACCTTTAAGAAGTGGCAGACCACCTTCTAGAAGTGTCAACCTTCACGAAGTGCCAAACAGTCGGCGGTCAGAGGACTCCAGTGCTAAAAGCATGCTTAGGGGACCTTGCGGTCGTGTTCAAAACATATTGGCGTAACACTAGATGCTCACCAAGCAGTTCTGGATGTCGGTTATATCGACACATCATAAGATGCCTTACAAGCAAGCAGCGGCTGCTTGCAGGACCTTCTACCCGGTATGGATCTTTGAGAGCAGAGTTTCGCATTCCACCGTGAGATCCACATCGGATAGGCGGACCTGCCATCCTACGGCTGTTAGTTGTAGTCATCTTGAGGGAGTCGATGAGGTGAGGACTCGGCAAAGAAAACTCTTAGGGGACTTTGCTGCCGTGTTTTAGGAACTTGTCGGCGTAGCACTAGATGTTCACCAAACAGTTTCGGATGTTGGTTATATCGACAAATCATAAGATGCCTTACAAGCGAGCAACGGCTTCTTGCAAGACCTTCTACCCGGTGTGGATCTTTGAGAGCAGAGTTTCGCACTCCACCGTGAGATCCACATCGGATAGGTGGACCAACCATCCTACCGCTGTCAGTTGTAGTCATCTTGAGGGAGTCGATGAGGTGCGGATCCGGCAAAGAACACTGCTAGGGGACTTTGCTGCCGTGTTTGGAACATATTGGCGTAGCACTAGATGCTCACTAAGCAGTTCTGGATGTCGGTCATATCGATACATCATAAGATGCCTTACAAGCAAGCAACTGCTGCTTGCAGGACGTTCTACTCGGTGTGGATCTTTAAGGGCAGAGTTTCGCACTCCACCGTGAGATCCACATCGGATAGGCGGACCTTCCATCCTACTGCTGTTGGCTGTAGTCCTCTTGAGGGTCGATGAGGCGAAGACCCGACAAAGAACACTCTTAGGGGACTTTGCTGCCGTGTTTGGAACTTATTGGCGTAACACTAGATGCTCACCAAGCAGTTCTGGACATCGGTTATATCGATATATCATATGATGCCTTACAAACAAACTGTGGTTGGATCCCATCCCCTATCTCTGGCGCGGATCTATGAGAGCAGATTTGACGCAATCCACCGTTAGATCCACATCGGAGAGGCGGAGCGGTCATCCTACCGCTGTTCAGTGTAGTCATCATGTGGGAGTCGACATCGCAAGAACCCGACGATGTTCCAATTGGGACGTGCTCTTGTTTCGTGATGTGCAGGTGCTTACCGACGCTGCGTTCGATCCCCTCCTCGACGTGAAGCAAAATGCGAGGGAATTGCTCAGGGCTCACGCCAGAAGTGCGATTGAACTCGCACTTTGACGGAGAAGCAGTTGCGCAGTCCATCAGCGCGACGATTTAATATGGACATTGGCTTGTCATTTGTATATTCAAGGTTGAAAACGCCATAAAATCTTTCTGTGTAGAAGATTCATATCCATTCATACAAGTATCTTTAGTCATCGCAAACATCGAGATGAAAACATCTCAAGTCAAATTGCAAAGCACACAGAGACATCGCCAACATCGAGGTGAAAACATCTCAAGTTGCTAGTGTGTTTTTCCAAAGGTGAAGTCTCACAGCACACGAACAGTTTCAAAAAACCATTCAATGCAAAAAATTCATTTAATGGCAAATTGCAAAGCACACAGAGACATTTCAAAAAATCATTGAACGCAAAATATCATACAATCCCACGTTGCACAGTGCACGGAGGCTTTCCAAAAATCACAAAGCACATGAAGCCAAAGTGCGAATATGTTCGCATTTCTCATATGGAACCAACAGTTCAATCACAAATGTACGACATCCAAAGTGCGAATACGTTCGCATTTCTTATACGAAAACAACAACCAGCATTCCGTGGAGAGCACGAGATGTATTCCGGGGACAAGAAAATTAGTAATCATTTAGTGCACTGCTGAATCCGTAAAACAATTCCAAGCACACATACATTTTGGTGACAATTGGTTTCCGAATGGAGAACAAGTTCGGAACTGTCGAAAGGAACCAACAGACAACATTCAATGGAGACAAGCAGAGGGGGTGAACCGTAGAACGGGGTGGCACACGCAGAACAAGGGCGAGCCAAAACATATGAAAGCTGGGTGGTCGGGGTGGGTCGGGGGAGAGGGGCTTTCACACCACAAAGGCTCGCGAACGAAAGAGATAAGCACGAAACAATTTGGCGACCAAGAATAAATCGTCCATATCTTTCAGTACGAGCATGAGTGCAAAATGTTTACAAGAGGACGAAGACGTCCCATGAGTAACAGAGCAGCACAACTTGAAACAAACAAACGCTGCACGGCGCGACAAACATAGCACGGTGTTGCCGCGGTCTGAAAACCGGGATATTCACATTCCATATCTAAGCGTCTACTTAAAAGATGCTGCAACACGTGGCCATGATATTTACATCGGCATCTAAGATTGTACTTCACGTAAGCGTCCGCTGCAAGCCCCTAGCTGATGTTACGTGGCAAGCAATGAGAACAACCCGAAAACAAACAAAGGCAGCACGGCGCTGCCGAAAGGCGTACGAGTAAAGATGACAGGTTTCTCGAAATGAAAAACCCTTAAAAAAATTTCGACTGCACGAGGTTGGGATATTCACATCGGCACCTAAGCGTTTACTTGACCAAAATGTCCACTGCAATCCGGTACCTCATCAAAACAACAGCACAACTTGAACCGGCCGACTGGTAGATTAAGTGGGAATAAATTCGTACTTCTGCTTATGACATTTCGAAAAAAAAAACACGGGTATTTTATCAACAGTGGTATCATTCAGCGTCTTGGAGTATGTCCACCGCAATCCTTTGCCGGATGTTTAGAATGTCGCTTTGGGCTATAGGAAATAGTGGCGGACAACCGCGTGCAAGAAATGAAGCGAAAACGAGCATGAAAACACCGCAGCTCGACCCGTCCGATTGTTGAGGGACACCACGAACAACCACCTTGGGCTCCTGGAGATCCACTTTCGTTTTTGGACCATAATGACAAAATGCTTCGTCACGAAGGTATTGTGTGAAGTTCGCAATCACATCGGAAGAAAAAACGCCGTCGTCTTGTACGAGGGAGTCGTAGTACTCCAACCGTTGTTCTCGGAAACACAATAGGGTCCAATGCACTCCATGTTTATGGACATGAATCAAGACCATCTCCTACGAGAAAATATCCACATCTTTTGTCAATCTCGCAACCCTATCATGTCGATAGCCGCCACGGACGAGCTTGGTATAGAAAAAGAGACTAAAAATGTAAAGAGAGGGACACCCAGGCAACGCAGCGTTGACAAGCAAGGCCAAGTACGACTCCACCACCTCGTCGGAAAGCCATTCCTCCTGAACAAGAGTTTGAAGATTTTTTCTGCTCAACGGAATTGAACTGACCCCTTTGCGAACCGAGGACACCACCTCGTGGCCGTTGCTGAAATCTCCACAGACGTTCCGCAACATTCTCAAGTCCGTAGCGCTAAGCTCCTCAGTAGGCAACGGAACGCGAAAACATGATGTAGCCCCAGTTGCACAAACACCCACGAACAAGTGTGAGGAGTGATCAAAATCACTGGGCCGAAATGACTAAGAACCGTCTGCCATTTTTCCAGAAAAGTTGTATCCCCGACTGTTGAATATGTCCTTGGCGATGTACTTAGGACACGGGTCTTTCAAGACTCCCCGTTTGACATCGTCATCAGACCCAACAGACAAAGCAGTAACGCTTTCAATAGACGCAGCCAAATGTTTCCGCAAACCTTCCTCCTTATCTATTCCAGAAGCCTTCAGAACCTTGACAACTCTCTGGGAAAGGCGAGGCATCTGGACCCTTTTAAACAACCCTACAGTTGATAATTTCTTCGGTAAAGCGGCCAATGACCTCCCTGAAAGACATTTCTCGCGCACGGCTTTTAAAGGCTTCATGGGCAGGGACATTGACAACCTCACACCTGTAAAACACAGAAAACAACCCACAACCCAGAAGCTATTTTTTAACAAGTGTTAATAGGTGCATGAGCCCATCACATCAATTTGGACGAACACAGAGCTGGCTAGTGACAGATATGCGAGTGCTTCTATTCACAAATCTTACCGTGCTCAGGAGCCCTTTCAAGGAACTCGCCCTCCTGTCACGCTACTGCACCAACGTCCACAGACGATTCGAGGTTCTGCACCTCGGCCACGACTGTGTCGCTAACCAGCTCGGTGGCAGCTGAATCGCTTGGCAAGTCGATGGGTTCATGAAGCACCATTTCCCGACCGGTACTGAGGACAGATGCTCGATCATCCTGTTCTGCACCGCAACGGGTGAACGGAAAATCACGATCTTTCCGCTCTGGATCCATCTTGATGCTGACGGTCACCTTACCGCCTTCCACGGACAATTCGAGGTTCTGCACCTCGGCCATGCCTGAGTCGCTAACCAGCTCGGTGACACCCGAGTCGTCACCCAGTTCTATGGCTTCATGAAGCACCATTCCCCGAGCGGTGCTTAGGACAAACGCTCGACCACCCTGTTCTTCACCGCAACGGGTGGGCGAAGAATCACCATCTTTCCGTTGCGGATCCGTCTGGATGCCGACTGTCACCTCACCGCCTTTTACCACGGGTTCTCCGCCTTTCTCATCACCATGAACCCGATCTTCCACCGCGGGTTCTTGTTCGTCTTCATCGTCACCAAGAACGGGAGGTTGCACGAACGTCCACTGACCTCCCTTAACGACACCCTCTCGCATCGTGGCCACAACCGACCGACTGTGCAGAACCTCTTCGGACGTTTCGATCACCAGTGCTCGAGTCTCCTCTCCCTGCTGTACAACATGCGTTTCCCCCGGAGCTCCTGCACTCTCGCTGTCAGTGTCCACGGACGCACGCTCCGAAGCATGACGTTCACACTCGCTACCCTCGGTCTCCAACACTTTGCGAGACTGCCATCGTTGAGTCTCCTCCTCCCGATGTACAGTATGCGTTCCCGGAGAGCGCTCCTCTTCCCGAGGAGTATGACGTTCGTACTCGCCACCCCCGGTCTCCAACACTCCTGCACCGGGCCCCTCCAGCAAGTCGCAAGACCGCCAGTCTCGAGTCTCAACACATGAGAACGGAGGCGAGCAGGGTAACCATGTGTCCAACTGAAGATGCGGGGGGCAGGACGTCACATTTTCTTGGCCCCGCGAAACTGTTGCGTGAGGAACACTTATGGCGGAGGGTGACGTCAGCAAATCCGAATGTATTCGGAGTTTGTGGCGGTCGCCCGAGCCAAGGGAACCGAAGGTTGCACCTTCGCTCCTTCGCAATGCAGGCATCCCGCCCTCCAGGCAAAACGAAGACGCGCCCTCTTTCAGGAGCAAGGTGTTGAGCACAGGAGACCTCTGCTGCGCACGGCGGGATGGACTCTCCTCGGCAACGGGAAACAAAGTCCTCGCAGACAAGTGCGAATCTACTCGCACTTGATCAGACCTCAGGGTGGCCTCGTCACGCATGTCGAAATCTCGACTCCCTACGCAGTGGGGGTCAGTTTCCATATACTGGGGACTCCCGGACGTTCTGCGCTTTCCGCCCGACCCCTTCCCGCCCGACCCCTTCTCGCCCGACCCCTTTCCGCCAGAGTCCTTTCCGCCTGACCCCTTTCCGCTGGACGCCTTCTCTACCGACGATGTCTCGCCCGTCCCCTTTCCGGCAAACTGTGAGCCGTCTCCTCCGCCACCTCCGCCGTCTCCTTCGTCTCCTCCTCCACCCCCTTCCGGATGCTGACCGCCAGACGGAGGTTGCTGCATGCGCCAGTCAATGCCACGAGACGGTGCCGTTTCGAGTGTGTAGAAAGGCGCTCGAAACTCCAACATGTTGTTTGCGTACAACTCATTTAGCTTTTGTTTTGCATACGCAGCGACGTCCGGATCGTTCCTCTCAGGGTTCATAAGGCTCAAATGCTCCACCAGAGCATGTCTCGCCGTTCTCTTAAATGCACCCGCTCCCAGTCTCTGCAGTCCACTCCACTTGCCATCGGCCTCCTTCATTGCCATGACCCACATTCCATTCTTCACAGCAAGTTGGAATATCCTTGGGTGCCAGACGACGTTGTGTCCCCAGACATCCTTCGCCGTGAACTGGTGATGCTTGCCGAAGAAGTAGAGTCTGGTGTCGTGGTCCTCAGGGAGCCTGTCACAAGGTTCGTGATCATAGTCTCTCGCTTCGTCCCCGTCATCAGACGATTGGTCGTCGACTGGTTCGGCCCGAAATACACGCTTCAAACCGGCAGGGGACGTGCTATATCTCCGAGGGCCACCTTCCTCTTCATCACCAACCTGTCCAACCACCCGAGGAAGTGGCATGGACTCGAAATCGAAGGTTTCGGAGTCGCTCAGCTCCTCCGTGTCTTCAGCGTCGAAAGGGTCCTCCTCGTCAAACTGTGACTTGTAGTTTTCGAGGGTGAGCGGTTCGGCCAGCATGAAGTAAACGTGCTCCAGCCTTCTAAGGGAAAGGCGAGACAGACTCCCTGGGTGCATCGTGGTACCCATTGAGAACACCGAACACCAGGTTTCTCCATTGACTGTATTCGAGGTCGGTCGGACCAGGCGGTCCGGGTTGGAAAAGGAAGTCCCAAACCTCCGTCCTTTTGTTCCCCGACAATTTCCAATACATGTCACGTTTGGGAGCCCAGTTTCGTTCGCCGGTGGTCCGGACAAACTCGCAAGCATTGCGAGTGTCTACAACGCGTGTCTTCACGAACTCGTGAAGGTAATCGATCATCTTCGCCTCCTTCTCCAACGCGACGACGTTCCGACCGGTGCGCAAGAGTTCCCACACGACAGACGCATGCGCCTTCCCAAGGAAAAAAACAGTTTGCCCAGCTTTGCGAAAGTTTTCGAGTAGACCAAGTAGACGGGACGGGTTCCGCTCCATCTCCCCGTAAACAGGTCCTTGAGAACTTGTCACGCCACCGTCCTCCCACATGCTACGAGTGAACCTTTCCTCTTCCGCGACGTCGAAACACGCCACAGCCTGTCCTGACAGGTCCGTCGAACAGACAACTTTCGAGCGGGCCGCCATCGTGTGTTTGGCCGGACTTGGACCATGAGCACGGGAGACCTTTGTCGGGCTACTGGCCGGGTAGACTGCGAATGTGTTATCTTCCAGCTTCTCACCATTAAAAATCACGTACAGGCGGTCACACTCCTCAACCAGCATATTGCCTTCCCGGACAGTGACTTGCTTTTGTGCATTGCGCACCCACTTCCTTGTCCTGACGTGATGGACGCTAAGCCTGGCCATGCCTTTCAAGAAACTGAGCTCCCAATGAGAGGGGAAAAAGATCACAAGTGCCCTGTGCGTGACGAAAGTGTTTGGAGAACGCCTTGCAAGTTGGCGAAATCGTCTTCTCGCCAGTCTGTGAGGAGTGTGGGATCACACTAATAGAGGACGTACAGGTTGCACACGGATCGCAGTGACATGACTGTGAGCTTGGGAAGGCGGGAAAGCGAAAGGAATAAGGCTGGTCACCCGGTTGAGGTCGGGCCATTTGATGTGCCTCACATCCCCGCTGACCCTGATCGTGTCACAAACTTCTTCTTCCGTCCGTCGCAAGATGGAACGGACAGACTTTTCGAAAGATTTAGGGAACACGTTGTCCTCGTACAATTTCTTCGCGTCGTCGAGAGACTCCTTCTCGTGCGGAAGAGTACATTTGCAAGTGTTCACGTACTCCACCGCGCCCTGGAAATGCTTTCGCATTTAGACCCACACCTGTTTCGTGAGGTCCTGCGGCCCGAACTCCTCCAGAAGCCGCCCCTCGGTCCCGAAAAAAAGACTCTCGTAGCGCCAAACATGTTCGTGTTCCTCCGTTTCAAGGAACAAGATTTAGTGGAACCTACGGAGCATCACACGGTCCACTTTCGTCGTCGCGACCATGTCTTTAATTCAAGTTTATGCTGACGCTTCAGATGCCCGCCCGCGGATTGCACGAACACTCCCCTTAGTGTGAGAATGTCGTCGAGGATCGACAGTTTCTCGACATCAGTCATGTCGGCGAGACACTGCCAAGAGAACATGTCTGGCTCCTTCACGACCACGAAAAACTTGTCGTCCGCTTGCATTTTTTCTTTTTGGTCGGAGGCGGCGGGACCCGGACCAGCCACCCCATCTTCGTTTCACCAGCCGCCCCTTTCAAGCCAATTTTCAGAATTGCTTGCAGACCCGGAGATTTGTCTGGCATGTATTTGCCCGACCTCGACAATGGCGTCTTGCCGTCGTCGCTCAACAACTTCCCCTCTGCCCATTTCGCGTAGAACTCCATGGCTTTGCGAAAAACGTCATCACCAACCGTCACGAGCGGCATCCACTGCCTCAATGCATTGCGAACGACAGCGACATACTCCTTGTCGGCGAGCGACAATTCTTTTTTTGCCAACGACCAGTGAGCTTCGTTCGGACTCTTTCCCAAAAACAACTTTTGGAATTTGAAGAACGCTCGTTTTTTGGCCTATTTGCCGGAAGAGTTCCCTTGAATGGCCACCGACCTTCCTTCATTCTCCCATGCCTCCCGCATGTCCAAGAACGCGGCCTTCTGCGATTGCTGCTTAGACATCTTGTGTTTCGTGTTCTCGTTGAGACTGACCTGCCTATACCCCGCGAAATTTCGGTCGGAGAACCACACAACTCTCGTCGGCCACGACTGCATCTTCCACAAATCGAATATTGGCTCACCCTCCAACTCCTTCACAGCAGCCACGGTGTGTTGTCCGTTAACAGTGTAATAGTAGTACTTGTCCTTGTCCTCTGGCTTGAAGATATCTTTGTGAACCCTGTCAGCTTTGTCCGGCCTACGCGTCAGGGGCTTGTAGATGGGTGCCAAACCCAGGGGGTTTTTCGTTCAGATCTTCCCCTTTTTCTCGCGGAATTGACTCAGCATCCTTGATGTCGTCCACAGTTTCGCGACTTAGACTGCGGTGGTTGTAATATCTTTCCCAAGGCGGGATGTCGCAGACCTTCCTGGGGTCGATGAGCAGTTGGACGGGGAGCTCCTTCTCCACGATTTCAACGCCACCATTCCGCTCGTATTCCGCTTCGTCGCACTCCTCACTGACAGGCCCTTCGCCACCGCTCGCCGCCTCAGCAGTCTTCCACCTTCGAGGTTTCTTCTCGCCATCGCCTTCTTCAACTTCCACTTTCCGTTTTGATTTTCCCGAAGGATCTCTCGCGGCTGCAGCGCCTGGATTAGCCGAATCTCCTCCACCCATGGCTCGTCCTTCGCGGATGGTCAAACCGCCGGGCCTCCTCGCTTTCTTATTTGCCGTCTCACCCTCTTCCTTCGACGACCTCTTTCCCGAGGCACGTTCTCCGACGTCACCTCCATCCCCGCCCATCATCGCCTCCGATTTTCCTCTCATCCTCTTCATGCGGAGGGTTCCCTCCGCCACCTCCTCTCGCACCATCCTCTGTCGCTCGCACTTCTTCTCCGAAGGAGTCGGCTCCCCGCCAAAGCTTTCGCGGACAGCGCCCATCCCTTCAGCCTCATTCCCTCCGACATCTTGCCCCGATCTGTTGAATTCTCTTCTCGTCTCATCTCGAAACGAATACGTGTCGCCGCCGCAGTCGACCTTGAGGAGTTTCGGAGTACCGACCCGTTGAGTCCCTGTACCCTGAGAATGCAAGTCCGACGTGTTCCCAGGAGCATCCGGGCCGACCTGCGTGTGAACGCTGCGCACGAGCCCCTTGACCCGACCCCCAGCGTCGTGAATCGCACTCCCGCGCCCCACTGCCGTCCCTGAAGTTTCTTGAGCCAAGCCGGACGACCCCTCATGGGGTGGCAGAAGCCTAAAACATGATCTCGCGGAAGAAACGGACGTTCTTTCGGCACCATCATCGTGAGATCGAGATATTGCTCTGGCGATGGAAGACGCTTGTTGCCGCCATCGCAAAGGCCTTTGAAGTGAGAGCACAACATCATGTTCGAGCCGTACCACGCGAAACTCTTGATGGTCACCAGCACACCCTTAACACCTCTGAGAGGAAGTCTGCACTCGTCGTACAAGCCGTTAGTTTGCAGCTTGAGCAAACCTCCAGAGTCTTGGCGCACGAGACGATGGTACCGAGAGGAAGAACGTTGACCGCTCCCCCAGCGTCGGGAACGCAAGTGGGTCGCATGAGAACAACTGGCCTAAAAAGGTCCCCCTGAACAACGAAGTCCAAAAACCATTGTGCTCCCATTGTGTGCATATACCGAGGAGTAGATTGCTGAAGGGGTCGTCCCTCCCCGAGGGCAGATGGTCCAGCGCTTGTGGATGTGTTCTTTGCGGACGCCATTGTACTCCCACCCGTTGACTAACACGCCCAACCTCAGACCAACTCGGATGACTAACACGCCCAACCCCAGACCACTACAGAAGCGAAGTGCGAACTAACTCGGACTTAACGAAATGGAGGACGAAAATGACGTAAGAGATGGGTGTTCGAAATGCACATGAAGTCACAACAATCGGGTGAAGGATAGGAAAGACAGCAGTGCTCTGGCAGAGTGAGTTTGAAAGGAAGACAACAACTCCACGGAGAGAGTGCGAACTAGCTCGCTGTCGTAGAATCGAGGCAGAGGTGATTTATCTTCAGGAAAGTGCGAACTAACTCGGAGTTTTGGGAATGAAGTCGTCTACAACAAGTACCGCATGGGTATCAACAAGGGGGAACTGACGTGCAGTTCTGGGCTGAAGGAAACCGAAGAATGATATTGGTGTTTGAAATGCAAACGAACACAAAACAATTGGGTGGCTGGCAGAGTGAGCTCGGAGGGAAGACGACGACTCTTCGGAAAGATTGCGACCCGAATCGCTCTCGTCGAAACGAGTAAGATGTGGTTTATCGATAAGTGCGAAGGGTGTCGATAAGTGCGAACTAACTCGCAGTTCTGTAGACAAGACAACAATGGCAACCCGCAGTACTAGGGGAAAGTGTGAACTAACTCGGAATTGTGGAACTGAGGACCTGAAAGAAGCACCAAACGAGTAAGATGTGGTTTATCGACAAGTGTGAAGGGTGTCGACAAGTGCGAACTAACTCGCAGTTTTGCTGACAGGACAACAATTGCAACCCGAAGTACAAGGGGAAAGTACGAACTAACTCGGAATTGTGGAACTGAAGACCTGAACGCCGCACGGGAAGGGTTATCAACTCCTCCAGCAATGTTGCTCAAAAAGTGCAAACTGACTCGCATTTGTGAAAATAAAAAACTGCCTTTAATGAAATATGTATTTAACCTTGGGAAAGCAGCGAATTAACTCGCAGTTGTCACTCCTCAAACAATGTACTTCGCAAACTGGGAGCTGACTCGCAATATCTCTCTCTCTCTCTCTCTCTCTCTATATATATATATATATATCGTATAT